CTCGCCCCTTCACCTCCCCAGGGGCTGCCAGTTTTTCCCAGGTGGATGGTGGACATGGTGCTGCGACGGAGAGATGCAGGAGGACTGGATGTAGAGGTGGAGAATGCACAGAGGGCTATCTATTTAGATGGGTGGACCGGAGGAGGCATTGCTGGGGGAATCAGATCTCTGGGCTCCTTTCAGCCTCAGCTTCCTCTGCCTTCACCCGTGGATGTGGATATCAGACCTCCTGACCTTTCCACGTTTTTGGGGGATCAGTGAGATGAGGCACTGGAAGCCACCTTGAATCCCTTCCCTTTGTCAGTTTTTCATTCTCCCTTCTCTTCTTGCCCAGCACCTCTCTCCTTCCCCTCCCTCTTGCTCCCCCTTATCTTCCCCAAGCCCTGAGAGGACCTCAGTCAGAGCTCGCATTGACAGGCAGCCTAGGCAGCCAGGTGTGGGGCTTGGCAAAAGGTCTCTGAGCATGAGTGAGCTCTAAGCTTGGCATTAGAGCCCAGAACTGGCTGGGGCTGGGAAGGTGCTGGCTGGGGCAGGCCCTGCGCAATACCCACCTGGGTCCAGTGGGTGAAGGACTTTGTCCTGGGCCAGGCAGGGCTTGAGGAGGCTCTGCTTTAGGCTAGCTGGGGACAAAGCTGCTCTCAGGCTCCAGGGTCAAGAGCAGGGGCTGCCAGCCCTGTCCAGTCCCCACAGCTGTCTCTCTGGAGAGGGGAGGGAGTTGCAATCCTAACAACCAACACTTTCTGACTCGGAGGCACTCTGCTGGATGTCAGCACATTTGCTCCTAACAACACACAGGGAGGTGGGCATTATCATCCCCATTTTATAAATGGGGATACTGAGGTCACGGAAGTTAAGCAACTGGTTAGAGGTACAATATACATGGCTATATTCAAAATGCTCTCACTTGTCTTTTCAAAAGCTCTCAACAGATAAATATTGCTGCCATTTGGTGCCGGTTTTACAAGTGCAGAAACCGAAGCAAGGTCAGATTCGGGGACTGGTAAGCATCTGTTCACCAAGCCCACTACTGGCCCTGTCTGAGGGGAGGGACGGAGAGAGGTGCCCTTAGGTACTTTGGAAAGTTCCCAGGCAGGGAACCCACCGTGCCAGGGAGGAACAGCACCCACGCTACTCCCACAGCCACGATCCATCCTCCCTTGAGCATTTATTGAATGAATCCTCTATGCCAGGCAGGGATGGCAGTCTACACTGGAACAGTGGAGGCATTGAGGAGGCAGAGGCCACAACTAGCCCCTGGCTTTGCTCACACCCTTCTTCTCTATGAAGCTTGCTTGCCCTGACTCTGCTGGGGAGGGAAGTCAGGGCAGGCTTCCTAGAGGAACTGAACTTGTGCAAAGTCTTGGAAGAGGGACAAGGAGGAAAGGCATTCCAAAATCAGCATACAGAGGGCTCCGAAGCTCATTTTGGGGAAGTATAAATGTTTAGCCTAGCTGGGGTCTAGGGTGTAGCATGGACAGTGGGAGGAAGCCTGAATATCCATGTAGTCATGGATATTCAGACTTGATCCTGAGGCAATGGGGAGCCATTGAAGGTTTTTGAGCAGAGGAGTAATGTGATCAGCTTTGCATTTTGGAACGATCTCTCTGGCAGTGGAGAGCAGAGTGGTGAGGAAGGGCATGGATGTAGTGGAGTCAGAGAGTCCAGTAAGGAGATTAATGCAGTAATCCACAGAGAGACAATAAGGGCTGAACTGGGCCAGTGACAAATGAGAATGGCAAGAGGTGTCAGATGTGACAAAGAATTACCAGGAACCTGGCCACCTGTTGGTGTGGGCTGCAGGAAGGTGAGGTATCTGGATGATTCTGGGGCTCTGACCTGGAGCAACCCAATGGGAGAGGGACAAGAAGACACAGGCTGGAGGGTCCAGTGGGGAGGCCGTGTGGGTCTGGAGTTCAGGAGAGAGGTCTGGAGGCAGCGTTGTGAGTCAACAGTCTGTGGAGGAGATGGAGGCCACAGACGTCAACGGGGCTACCCAGGCACAGTCTCTGCAGGAGTGAGAAGAGCAGTGGGTCAGGAGCAGACAGGGCCTGAGTCTAAAGGTCAGCAGAAGAGGAGCCAGCAATGGAGGCCAAGGAGACACCCTCAGAGAGGTGGGAGGAGAGCCAGGAGATGACTGTGCCACGTAGGCCAGGACAAAAGAGGCTTCAGGAGGGAGACGGCCAGCAGTGCATGTGCTACAGCAGGCCACGGGAGAGGAGGGCTGGAGAAGTCATGGTGGCCTTTGCCAGAACAGGGGGGACCAGAGGCTCTAGTGCAGTGAGTGGGTGACTGGAACCTTGGCTTCAAACTACAATTTTTCATTGCTCTGAGATTACCCAGGCACATTTAAAGGGAAGAAGCCAGGAAAGAGGGAGGAGTGAAAGCCACAGACGAGACTGGGAATTGCCAAGAGAGGGCCCCAGTTGCTCAAAGGGAACCAAGAGTACAAAGGATCTCCCTCCAGCCCCCTCACAGCTTGCGCAGAGAAGGGCTGCCTCTTCTTCAAGGCCACAGGGCACTGGCAGGGGCTGGGGCAGCTGCCGGTGAGGCTGTGGCTGGGGAGCAAGGGAGGGAAGAAGTCTTGCCTGGTAGGTTGCTTGGCTTTGCAAGTGGGATGGGAGGCACAGGGCAGTCCTCTGCTGAGAGAAAGCCAGAGTGAGTAGGGTACTTGAAGAGGGGGGAAGATTTAAAGAATGAGGGGACAGCTGTGGAAGGATTGTTGCGCAGAGCTGCCACCCTGCTGAGGCCAGACCGTGGACTTGTCACGGCAGCAGTCTGCACGGCTGGGCGAGTTTCTCCAGCAGTGCTCCTCAGCGCAGATGGGGGGCAGAGAGGCATGGAGGAGAATGAGTATGGAGACATGCAGCGGGGATGGGATCGAGAGGACAGGGAGCCAGGACAGTGGGGCACTGGCAAGAGTGCGCTAGAGGTGAGATGCCCAGGGGTCCCCTGGAGAGGGTCAGGTGAAGCCAAGACAGCAGGAAGAACAGACAGGGATGGGCGAGGGGTTTTACTGGGACTCAGACAGGGGAGGGAGGGTGGACAGAGCCTGTGGTCCAGAGTTGGTCTATTTCACTTGAAGATATCAAAGGGCTCAGTCCCAGGTGGGGACAGGTATAAGACCGAAATGAAGCAGACATAGAGGTCATCTGCCCTAGGAGGTCAAGAAGTTTTTATTCATTCACTCATTCAACAAATATTTATTGAGCACTTATTATGGCAATCTCTGTGCAAGACACTGTATGTAGGGATGAACAAAACTTGGTTCCCATCCTCTAGGGGCTCACCGCCTTGCCTCATGGGGGAAACACACTAACACCATGACAACATCCAGTGGTGACTGTAGCATACAAAAATGCCCAGGTGTAGTGGGAGCACACAGAGGGGCCTTCACCCAGGAATGGAGCGAGTGACCTCAAACCTGAGCCTTAGGATGGGTTAGGAGTTGCCCAAGCAAAGGGAGTGGCAAGGGCTCAGAAGAGAGAGCATCCTCCAGAGAGACCAGCAGGGGTGTTCTTCTGGTGGGGCCAGAGGGTAAAAGACGTGGTAAGCAGTGGAGACAGAGAGGTAGGAGGAGCAGAGTCCCTGAAGGCAGGCACAGAGCTTCCAGAGGAGGGGAGGCTTTGAAGGGATTTTGGCAGGGGAGCGGCATGATCGGATTTGCATTTTAGCACTCTGGGGCTGTGGAGAATTGATTGGAGCAGAGCAAGGGAGCAGACAGAGACTGGTTAAAGGCTGCAGGGCAGCAGGGGTGGCAAAAGAGGTCACAGTCAGGAGATATTTAGGATTCAAAATCAGCAGGACTTGATGGTTTTATTTTTATTTTATTATGGGGGAAGGAGGGAGAGAAGGCTCAAGGATGCTTCCCAGGTGCCACTAACTGAGCTGGAAGAAACAAGAGGAGTACATTGGGGATAGAGATGAGGATGTCATTTTGAGAAAGATTGCATTAGAGGACCCTGAGAACAACCAGGGGAGTCTGTGGGCCAGTAGATTGGCCAGGGATGAGGTCAGGGCACCCAGATGTGGTTAAGAGGTGAAGATTATTATTTCAACAGCTTGGCAGATTCTTCTTAGGGAGGGAACACTTTTGCTTGAGAAAAATACTTGATATGCTGCTGGGGGTAAAAGGGGAGAGCCTAGGGCATGGGTGACCTTAGGGCCAACATAGCCACAAAAATAGCTAAGCTGCCCTGCATGAGAAAGGAGAGGAATCTGTTTGGCCCCGGAGAGGGATGGGGCTGAGAAGGGAGGGCAGAGAGGCAGGAAGGAATGAGTGAAGGGCCAGTGGAAATTCCCACTGGTGGACAGCAGTGGTGCCCCTGCCATGTGTGACCTGATGCTGCTTGATTATTTGTAGAATAAACCCCTTCTCCATCTGCCCCTCCCTGCCCCACAGGCCCAAGTCCTGGCAAAGTCAACTCTATTCACATCTGCATTCTGTGAGAGGGGTTTTAAGTGGGAATAGAGGAGAGCACTTGATATCATATCTGGGTTTAAGGAGCACAGCAGTTTCAGCCCCTCTGGAGGCAGAGCTTAGAGACAGACGGGTCCAGGAGAACAGGACCCCCTGAAACAGGCCTTGGACTTGGGGATCTGAGTGATCTTGCTCTATTGAAGCTGACAACAGGACATTAATAACATGACCACTCTGCTCTGCACCTGCGGCCCTCAGGCTAGACCTCTGCCTACAGCAAAAGTTAGACCTTTCCAGCCCAGGAAAACCTCCTAGGATGTTCCGGCTCAGCACCCTGGGGACGGCCCTCCCCACCTCCTCCCCCTGCCCCAGTCAGGTGAGCTCAGGCATGTGCATAACCCCATCTGCCTGCTCCCTGCCAGTCTGACCAGCACATTCCTTGGGACGGCAGCGTGGTAGAGGCACTGCAGGTGGGGCGCCACAGAGAGTGAAAGCCAGAGTCAGCCAGACACTAGGGACACGACGACCGAAGAGAGGCCCTTGGAGCAAAGGAGGCGACAGCCAAGGCACTAGGCACCAGGACATGGATGCTGTGGAGCCAGGGGGGCACGGCTGGGCTAGGATATTGTCATGCGAGCTTTGGACAGCCATCATCAGGGCGCTATTTGCAGAGTTCCTGGCCACGGGGCTGTACGTGTTCTTTGGCGTGGGCTCAGCTCTGCAGTGGCCCTCGGCACTTCCCTCTGTGCTGCAGATTGCCATCACCTTCAACCTGGTCACAGCTATGGTTGTGCAGGTCACCTGGAAGGCCAGTGGGGCCCACGTCAACCCTGCTGTGACGCTGGCCTTCCTCGTGGGCTCCCACATCTCTCTGCCCCGTGCTGTGGCCTATGTGGCTGCCCAGCTGGCAGGGGCCACCGTAGGGGCTGCTCTGCTTTACGGGGTCACACCAGGAGACATCCGAGAGACCATTGGGATTAATGTGGTAGGTGCAGGGAAGGGTACAAGGCAGGGCCAGGAGGAGGGAGTCCACATAGGTGGTAGGGGTGGAGAGGTGGAGAACAGAGGAAGAAACAATTCAGCCATATGCTCCGCACCTGCTCTGGGCTGGGCGCTGGGTCCCAGAGGAATCAGATTTTGGCCTTAGTCTAGGAAGAATAGAATGGGATTGTGGTGTGAAGAACAGATGTTGAAGGAAAAAGGGGAAGGAGACAGAGAAGGACCAGGCATTTAAAGGGTAGATGTGGCCAAGGAAGGCCTGGGGCTGTGGGTAGAAGGGGATCCTGCAAGCATTTCATTTTCCAAGCTCTACCCTCTGTCTTCTGCTCCTCTGTTTCCCCAAGTTCCTCCCTCCCCAGCACCTCGAGGCCCGCCTACTCCCTCACCCCATTCCCCTAACCATCTACGTTCCACCTACTTCCCCAAATCTCCTCCTTCTACTCCTACCACCAGTCTCCTCTCAAACAAGTATCCCCAGCTTCTCAAGCCTTCCCTTCCCTACCAGTCCTGGGATCCTGCCTCCCCCTCCTGAACCACTGGCCCCAACCAACCAATTGGTGGGGTGGGAGGGGTGCTACTCACTTCTGCAGGGAGCAAGTGTCCAGGGCTGATGTGAGCTCCACTGCACAGATCTCCTCAAGTCCTGGAGCTGAGCAGTGGTGAGATGTCACCCCCCCTTACAGCTGAGACCAAGCCCGGGGGTTCACCGTCCCATGGGCAGAGCCTGCGTCTGCTCCAGCATAACCCCCTCTGCCCAGGTCCAGAACAGCGTCTCGATTGGCCAGGCAGTGGCAGTGGAGCTGGTTTTGACCTTGCAGCTGGTACTCTGTGTCTTTGCTTCCACCGACAACCGTCAGACATTGAGCTCCCCAGCCACCATGATTGGGATCTCTGTGGCATTGGGCCACCTCATTGGGGTAAGAGGCAAAGGGGACACCGTGCACATGGATACACTGGGTCCCTCCCTGGGGAACATGCAGGGCCTGAAGGCCAGGAAGTATCCCTCACTGAGCCCCTTATGCCTTGGGGCCAAGGTGGTGCCAAGGCCAGGATATGGTGCTGCCTGAGGCCAAGCCTGGGGCCAGGGCAGAGGGGACTCTCCCCTTCTAGACCTGCCATAAGCCTCCTCACACCCTGACCCTGCACTTGCTCCCCAGATCTACTTCACTGGCTGCTCTATGAACCCAGCCCGCTCCTTCGGTCCTGCTGTCATCATTGGGAAGTTCACAGTCCACTGGGTGAGACCCTCTGCTGGCAGCCATGGGGAAGGGAGAGGGCTTGAGTAGGGACAGAGGACATTGGGTTTTATCAGCATTGGGTCCACAGAGACTTGGGGAGATGCCTACCCCCGACCATTTTGACCCTGGAGTGGAGGTCCCCTAAGCTCAAAAAGCCAGAGTGAGTGTCCCGGCTTGTACTTTCTTCCTTTCCAGCTTCAACACCCCAGGGGATCCAGTGGACTGGCAAGAAGTGGGCCAGGACAGAAGCTACGGCTTTGGCCCAAGCTTTAAGTCCTGGCTGTTTCCTTATTCACTTTCTCCAGCTGGATCAATTCTCAAACTTGGATAAAGAAAAAGACAAACAGAAACAGACATGCCAGCGGAGACAGAAACAGCAATAGCTAGGACTCATGCCTAAAATGGGGGAGGCAGGAGGAAAGAGGCATGAGGGGAGAGGAGTCTGGCCCTCTGGCCCCAGCCACGGCTGCATAGCCTGGGCCCAGCTCCGTGGAAGGCAAGGTCCCCTCACCTTGTGTGCTCCGGAGGCAGGACTCATGGTTCTCAAGTTTACCACCTTGTAGACAGTTGAGGAAGACTTGGGAGACCATGTCAGCCCTAGGGAATTAGGCAGAGGCCACGAAGTCACCCTATGATCCTGATGGCTCATGGGGAGGTGTCTACTTTCTTCTCCTCAGGTCTTCTGGGTGGGACCCCTGACAGGAGCTGTCCTGGCTTCACTGATCTACAACTTTATCCTGTTCCCTGACACCAAGACCCTGGCCCAGCGACTGGCCATCCTCACAGGCACTGCAGAAGGAGAGAGTGTGGTAGGGGTGGAGCCCCAGAAGAAAGAATCCCAATCCAGTTCAGGGGACATGGAAATGGAGAGTGTGTGAAACAGCATAGACCTCAGGCTTCAGAGAGGAGCCCTGTAGGTGGGCAATGTGCCTTGTATGGCCTAACTTGAGGTTTTCCTGGGAGGGGTGTAAAGGGGGAGGCTTGACCCCTTGTCCTAATAGGGTGAGCCAGGGGGTGCCAGCCCTTCTCCCTGGCATTACATTTCTAGATAAAAAGAATCCGGAAGCAAATCTGTCTAGTCCCCTCCCCCTAGGCCTTCCCCATCTCTTAATGAGACAGCAGAGGGGGACAGGGGACTTCATGATCGCCCTTCCCTCCCTTCCCTCACCCAACTAGACCCTAGTGGGAGTCCTAAGTCTCCAGATCCCTATGTCTTTGGGAAAGTGGAAACTGGAGACCAGAAAGCCATTTTGCTTAGACACTGAGGGCTACAGGGACCTCAGGAAACCCTTGGGGAGGAGTGGACAGGCTTCCTGGAAGAATCAGGTCCTAGAACAGCCTCTGAGCTCCTGAGAGGGATTCCCCTACCCTTAGGTATAGTTGGGGAGCTATGACTCCCCTTTCAGACTGGGGGCTTCCTGAGGACAGAAACCGACCTCCCAAAAGATCTTTATTTCTGACTTCTCCAAATGCTCAGGAGAAGACCCCACCCTTAGGAAGAGCTGACACAGAAAGGAAACTTCCCTCAGGCTGGCAGAGGAGCAGAATATAGGAAGGGAGGTTTGAGCCAGAAAGGCCTTTCCCAGGGTAAGCTCTCCCCAGTTTTCTGCCCTGACTTCCACCCTACATCCATTCACAGGAACAACCCTGAGAGGGGAAGCCCCCACCCCAATCTCAGTTCTTAACCTGGGCCAAAGAAGCCATCTCCTGCTTCCTTCTCAGCATTACCAGGATCCCAAAAAATGCAGTCAAATAAGTCCCAACGATGGTGGGAACCCAACAATGACTCGGGAAACCAAGATTTGAGGTTCAGTGCCTCTGAAGGTCTACTGAAGTCCTTGGTTTAAGATTTAAAGGCTGTTCTATATCTACGCTGCCCATGACTTGGGGTCCTGTCTGGCTCTCAGCTTCCCAGCTACAAAATGGACACAATTCTCCCCCAGGGACCGCTGTGAAAACAAGAAATTGGAAAACGCTCTTGGAAGTGAAAATGCTAGAAAAACAACCTCAATAAAGGATGATTATTGTTGCCATTACTGTAATTATTGGGTTTAAATACAATTGCTGTTGGTAATGGGAGGGAAGAGGGCAGAGAGGAAGATGACCGAGAGGGAGGGAAGAGAGAGTAGGCTTTTCTCTCATTTCATTGGATCTACTTACCCATGACCCTGCCTCCTTCTCTCTTGGGTCTGCTGACCTGGGAGCTTTGTGGGTATGGGGGTTAGGGGGAGGGACCCTGGAATGAAGTGACAGACCAATAAAAGTCAGTTCTCATTTCTATGGTGTTCATCACCATGGTACCCTGAGATGCAGCAACCAAATCCATATAAAAGATGGGTCCTTTTTCCATGATGTCTTCCAAGGGGCCAGGGATGGGGGAAAGGCTGCCAAAGTCTTCCAAAGGCAGGGTAATGGGCCTAGCCTGTGACCAGTGCAGTAGCTGAGTCCCTGGCCCCAGCAGCTGTGCTCAGCGTTCTGTAATATCATCAGTGCAGATACTACTCACATCTCTCCAAGATGGGTCCCACTCATCCATCTTCACAATCTCTGAACCCAGGGCTGCCTGTGCCCTTTATGAGCAGGGACAGCTGTGTGTGTGTGTAGAGGATATGGTTGACTTGCTAAAGGTCACCCAGCTCAAAAGCATGGACCCTTAATGTTTCCCCAGCTCCCAGCTTAGAATTTTCCAAAATAGAGCTCCAGGGGGGCTTACACAAGCTGCAGCCATAGAAAGGAAGGAAGCAGGAACTAGAGGGCTGAAGGGAGGGGCTGGTGGAACTAATACAGTAGGCTCTTAAGCTCCTTAACAAATTATCTCTGCATCCCCAGAGCCAAGCACACACTGGGTGCTCAATAAAAGTTTGATGAATGAATGACTGAGCCTGTGCAGCTGGGGAGGGAGATGAGGCAGTAATAGATCAAGGATGAAAATTCAGGAGTTACAACTCCAAATAAGCCAAAATGACAGCAGCTGAGAAGCCTATGCTTCCAAGCTGGTGCCGGGAAGAAGGTGCATCACCAGACATTTGAGTCTCCATCCACTATCCCAAAGCAGGCTCCGTGACGTCTGTCCCACGAACTTACGGGCCAAAAGGGTAAGGGTGGTTGCCTGAAAAGAAAGCTGGGGGGCCATTTTCATGAATAGTTCTTTAAAGCTATTCTCTGTCAGGATAGAGCAAGAGGAAATAAGCTTGAGAAGTGAGGAATTAGGTTAGAACCTGCAGAGCATTGAAGGTTAGACGTGGAAATAAGTAACCAAAGGTTAGCTTTTCTTCCTCTGGAGCCCTTTAATAGGACAGCAGGCCATCTGTTTGGATGAGGGAAGGGCTGGCCTCTGGGGAGCTGAATCTCAGTGGTTCCAGCTGGGGGAAGCAGGCTTCATCATCACAGCCCCTGGGTTTGTGGCAAGGCAGGGGGCATGGGGAGGACAGAGACCCAACCAGGCCAGCTCTTGGTGTGTATTCCCTTCGTCCCGTTTGTCAGGGGAAGTTTTTAATTAATGGTGTGTAATCTGATCTGACCCTTCTCCCTGCTGAGCACTGCCTTCAATCAGTGGAGCCATCTGCAATTGCAATTCATAATTCTTCCGAAAGGGAGGGGGACTCGGGACTGGTGCCTTGGTGATTAATACAATTAGCCTTTTATGTTGATGATTGTCTTAGCAGGAGCAGCTGATGCTGCGCTCAGAGCCTAGGCGATGCTTCCCGTTTCCCACCCCCACTGCTCATCTTTAACCTGCTACCTCCAGGTACAAAGAGGACAGACCTGATACAGGACCATACTGTGCAAGGGAGAAAAGCCCAGGAAGGGGCCAGGCTCTGAGACACATTGGTCTCCTGGGACCCTGGGAAGAGGAGGAGCAACACAATGATCCGGAGACTTTCACTTTCCAAAGAAAATCACTTTGACCCAATGGATTCTGTGGACTGAAGTTTAAAAAAAAGAAAGAAAGAAACCTAAATAAACGTAGAATAGGGGTTTAAATACAGGTCAGGCACTTACTATCTGTATGAACTTGAGCAAGTTACTTAGGGATCCTGAGCCTCCCCTTCCTCATCTGGAAAATGGAGTACAGTCAAAAGGGTGCTGGAAGAGCTACATGAGATGTGTTTAGCAGCAGGCCTGACATATAGTCAGATCTCAATCACTGGTAGCTAATTTTACCACTATCATCATCAAGGTAGAAGGTATTATGTCTACCATGAGCCCAGCTGCTTCCCCTGCAGTTTCTAAAGAGGCCTGGGCTATTACTAAAGAAGGGATCATTTCTTTCACATACCCCAGGCTTAGCTTGAGCTAAAGGGAGAGTGTGTGTGTTTGGGGAAAGAGGAGACTCCCAGAGGAAAGAGTCATCAAGAATTAAAACACAAGGAACAGAAATAAGTGCCTCCTCAGAACAGAGAAATGGAGCACTGAAGTGTTCATGCCTGGGAGACTTGGTTTGGAGAGATTCAGGGAATGAGGGTGAGAAGGCTGGGTGGGGTGGGAAAGGGGTGAACAGAAGCAGGGTTTTGAGGACTTGGAATTTCACATGAAAACTAAGTAAACAAAAAGGGAGCTAATATCAGAGCTGAGGGTTAAAGGGGTAGCACAGACCAAAATTACTGTGATCTATAATGAGCTCAAGTGATCAGGAACAAGCTGATCTGGGTTTTGGTGGGAGACTCCACTAGGTCAGGGGAGGGGTTTGCCTCAGTCCCTCTGGCCCCACAGCAGTGTCTCCATGACCCAAGCAGCACCAGGGAATGCAGGAACAGGCCTAAGGAAAAAAGAGCTTGATGCTTGATATTAAGAGGGATTTTAGCATACAGCTTTGTGCCAGGCCCCAGCAATGTCAAAGAGGAAGACGGGGAGGGAGAAAGGGAGGGAAGAAGTTAAGGGCTAATCAAGATGAAGCATCCGGCCAAGCAGTGGCCACTCTGGGCAGCTGTGGCAGGGGGTCACTACAGCCAAGATCTGTAATCACTTCTCAGGGAGAGGCGGCTACACTAAGGCACACTCACACATTTAGCAAAAGCTGGGGAGGTGAGGCATGGTTAGTGAATGGGGTTTATGGGAGTGGGGAGTCCAATGGCACTAATTAATAGGCTGCGGTTAATTAGCAGAAAAGGGGGAACTGAAAAACAATGTTTCAGAGCTCTGATTAAGGCAGATAAAGGAACAGCTATATAGCCGGAGCTTGAGGTGGAGGAGGCCAGAGACAGAGGCAGGGACCAATAACTAGCACTCCCCCCCCATGGACAGATGGAACAAGGACCAGCCCATGGTCAGAGAAAAGGCCAGGCCAGCAGTTGGGGTGTCCAGTTTCGGAGCAACAGGCTGGAGGTGCTTCCTCTGCCTAGGAATATACTTCTGGTCCCCCCCAGCTGCCTTATCCTGAGTTCCAGTTTTGTCATGACCTCTGAGGCTCTCCAAGCCTTCAGCTCCCTCTCTCCTGAGTTCCTCTCATAGCACTGTGCCCACCTTGATCCTCGCACCAAATACATTACTTCACAGTTATTTGAACACCTGTCTGAACAGGAAGACCTTCTTAAACAAAACTATATTTTTTTAGTCTACTTTTCCTTTCAGGGCAGTAGGTTTCTTATCTTCATTCTCTGTCCTGTGAGATAGGCTTCCTTTTTTTGGTTGGTCCCCAAATCACAGCCTTCTACCTTAAGGGGAGGGATATTCTGGATTGGGTGGGCAAATTGGACAAAGGATTGCAACAAATATTCCCAACCCCCTGCCCAAACAGAATATCTAACACCTCTAATCTTTCATGTGTCTCAACGGTCCCCAACCTTTTTGGCACCAGGGGCCGGTTTCATGGAAGATAATTTTTCCACAGACTGGGGATGGAGGGTGGGGTGTCGTGGGTAGGAGGGTGTAGTTCGGA